GCTGCTCTGGAAAAAGCAGGCAAATAAATATCGCCTGCTCCATTTTCCCCCTCTACTCTCCGAATCATCTTGTTTGGCCGGAGGGGTGCGTCCGTGCCGTTCTCCGCGCGGCGAGGGTGCGCGTCGTCACAACGCGGAGAGCCCGGAGGGGGTCACTGTGCGGCTGGCGCGGCCTGGGATCGGATCGGTCACGTACTTTGGTTACGACCCCAACTTCCGGTCCGGAACCTGTTTCCCGCTTCCCCCCGCGGAGCCCCCCGCGCGAGGACGACAAGCAGGACGAGGCGGGAGAGGCGCGCGTGGCGCAAAGTCGTATCGCCGTGTGTCAAACTTGGCGGAACTCGGGGCTGAGAGTCAGGCGGGGCATGGAGGCCATGGAGGGAGGGGCGGCAGCATGGCGGCAGTGTCGCGAGGAGGCAAACAAAGACCCCGGGAACGAGGACTGCGAGGGCGCCGCACGCTGCACTGCTGCCTTGCGGCCGGCGCCGAGGAGGGGGAAAATGAATCAGGATGAACCGAACCATTGCAGGCGGAGGCAGTGTCTGCCCGGGAAAATGGAAATGACGCCGAGGACGCCGAGGACGGCGAGGTCAACATCCCCGTTGTTACGACGGCCTCCCCTTCCGCCCCGGGGCCCGCCGGCCCGCCCCCTCCACCGCTTCCTTTTTATAGCAGCCGACGAATGCAGTGATTTACGGCGATGGCCGATGCGAGCCCCCTGCCGGCCAAGGAGATATTACATTATTCCATTCCACGAGACGATGATATGAATCCGGCCAGGAGCCGATGGCCCGCTCGTTATCCGGGGCGCGCTTCGATCGCGACCCTGGCGACGAGCTCGGCGTCACCAAGAAGGCCTTGAATAAGCCTGCGCCATTGGATTGCTGCGCGTCACCGCGCCACACTCGAAATTAGTCATGGACGCTGTTAAAAGTGCATGCCGGCGTCATGTCAGCGAGCCGTCCGGCCCGGGCGGCAGTGTGGCCGCGGCGGGCGACGGGCAGAGGCCGTCCCGCGGGCATGTCGCATGCCGCGTGTCGCTTCGCGTTGGGGCATGGCCGGCATGGCCGGCATGGCCGGCATGGCAGTTCTAGCTGGTTCGTGCTAGCAGCAGCTGTTGATAATTAGCCCGACCATCATCCCCGCACGCAATGCCGCCACGCCGAGCCACCGCGCCGCCCCCTCCCTCAACGAGTGCGCTTTCGTCCAGTGCGGGCATCGGAGCGGCACAGGCCGGGCAAGCCGGGCTGCTAGCGCGTTGTGCCTAGAGGGTGTAGCTCCAGCTCCACAGAGCTTCCCCTCCCCCCCCCCCCACACACACACCCGGGGAAGTGCCTATGGACACGCACGCTCTCGCACGCCGGACGGTGACACTGACAGCGCGGTGACAGTCCCCTCCCCGGGTACGCGCACTCGCACTCCGAGCACTCCGAACTGCAGACAGCGGACGCCACGTCTCCTGGATACCGAGAGAGCGCCTGTCTCCGGAGGAACCCAGCCTGGGATTTGCAGAAATGGCGCGTCATTTTCCAGAGACGATGCAATCATTTTCGAGGATGCATCATTTGGTGACGACGCGGCTTAAAGACATTCTCGCGACCGTCGTTCCCCCAATTTGAATTCTTAACGCCGTCGAGGGGTATCGACGCTGACCGGACCCTGGCTGTCCGTGCTGACCATACCCCCCGCCCCAGAGACAGACCCCTGACCCGGGCGGACCGGCGGCGAGGGGTAGTGCGAACATTGATCAAGCCGTGAATAGTGTTTGTCCCGGGCGGGGCGGGGCGGCAGGCAGCATGTACACAGGCAGCAGGCGGCACGCCCCCCACACCCCACGGCTCCTTGCCGTCGTTAGTTTGCTGGACACTCACTGTGCCTCCGTGCCACCAGCCGGCCTGCCCAATGGGCCCCGACGAGCCCCGCGATACGTCGCAATAGCCAGACTGGAGAAAAAAAAAGAATTTCCAATGTTGATCGAATAAGAATGATTTTATCAAGCCCCCATTACGTTTTCTGCGATAGAAAAACGTCCCCTAAAAACCCGTTCCACCCTCTGGCACCGTGTTGCCGCTTTGTTTTCTTTCGGGGCGGTTGATCGACGCAGTGGGCGGGCTCGCGGCGCGCGGCTCGCGGCCAGGGGCAGGCGACTCATGTCCATGTCCATCGACCTGCTGCCCGCGGCGGCGCGGCGGCGGCGCGGCCTGCTGGATGGGATGGGCTTGATGTGTTTCGCCATCAGGCCACGCCGGGCCACGCCGGGCCACGCAGTCCTGTCCGAGCCTTGCCTGGCGCCCACGTCAACGAGTATGGATGGCATCGACCGTATTTACCGTCCGCTGGCCGGGGAAGGGGAAAGGGGGCGGGGCAGGGGCGTCTTCTTGGTGGAGACGCGGCACGAAGAACGCGTGCTGAACGCGGTGCGCACATGCAGCATGCCGAAGCGTCAAGCCACCCCTTTACTAGATTCTCCTGACCCCGCCTTAGCGGACTACTACAACTACGAAGCGGCAGAAACCAAAGTTGACACAAGACTCACACAATAAGGGAAGTGTTGCCATGCGAGCGTGCGCGCCGCGGCTTCCTGGGGGACGCGCCGGGCGTACGGATGTCCGCGGAGAGTACGTCGTGTGCGGAGCGCGCGTTGCGGGGCCGGTCCAGACGGTCCAGGCGCTCCTTCCTCTCCTGCCGGTCCTGCCGGTCCTGCCGGTCCTGGCGATCCACCCGGGGATTCACGGCCAGGTGCTGCACTTGGCTCTGGCTCTGGCTCCGCAGGCCCTGCTTCTCCTGGTCCGGCGCCACTGCCTGCTGCTGCTGGGGCTGCTCCTGCTGCTGCTGGGGCTGCTCCTGCTGCTGCTGCTGCTCCTCGGGCCGCCCCGACCGGTCGCCGTCCGGCCGGGGCGAGCCTTCCGTGTCGTCGATGCTGGCGCACAAGGTGGCCGCCGGAGCCCCCACAGCCCCTGCTGCCGGGCGGCCGCACCAGCGGAGTCGGCGCCGTCGTGGCACTCAGCTTCCTGCAGCAAGCATTCCACAGTGAAGCGACCAGGTGGAGTCCGGCATGCCGGCCATGCCGCGGCGGGGCGGACACACCGAGGGGAGCTCAGTACTCACTGCCGGCCTGGAGAGACTCTAGTCGCGCCTGCGGCTTGGCGGGGCTGGCGGTGCTGGCGGTGCGGGCGGGTCTGACGGGCTTGCTGTGGCTGGCCTCCCGGATTCTGTCACGCCGCCGGGCATGCCGCAGGACGGGGCGGGGGGCTGCGGCCGCTGCGACCAGCCGACCAGCGAGCTCAGTGGAGCGCTGGGATTGGAAGTGGCATTCACTGTGCGCCGCACGGACCACAGAGAGCGCTGCACTCTCGCCCCCGTCCCCCTCGGACCGCGCAGCTCGCAGCGCGCAGCGTGACCTGAGGCGGGCGTCGCAGTTCGATCGTCAGCAAAATAACAGCAACAACTCGCAATGAAAATGACAGGCGAGCGGAGCGCTTGAGGCGGAGCGCCAATGGCGGAGCGCGGTCGGGGAGAGCGCCCGGCTGGGTAGGCACCACGAGCGCAGCCACGGCCAGCGGATGCCTACCGCCCAGGCGCTCCACGCTCAGCGCGTGGCTGGAGGCTGGAAGCTGGAAGCTGGAACGAGGCGGCCCGACCTGCACGCAGAACACACGCAGTGTACACGGCCTGCGTGGTGTAGGGACCCTCCCCGTAAGATGCGCGCTCTCGACTGCTGGAGTAAACTGAGGGATTTTCACCCCGTGCGAGACTAGGGTACGAAGGTCCTGGCTGTCACGGACCCCCACCTCCCTGGCCTCGCGCCGGGTGGATTTTCTCCAGTTCACTCCAGACCAATCAGAAGGACAGAATTTCTCACAGTGAGGTTTCCTAGCGTGGCGGCCTGCATGATGCGCGAAGAGGTTCATTTGTTTACAGCGCCGCCGCCGCCGCCGCCCTCCCACCACCTGCTGCCCCCCGCGGCCGTTCGATTTCCCAACTTGGCAGCGCCGGCGGGGCCGGCGGGGCGGTGGGGGGACGGGCGGCGGGGCAGTACCCCTCGAGGTACCCGCCGTGCCTCCCGGACACGTACCTGTGCGTGGGTCAGGTCCAGAGCGCGCTCCCCGGGGCGGCCAGCTCGGCCAGCTCGGCCATCGATTGGCGGCTGCGCTGGACAAGGCGCTGGAGGCCCGAAGGCTGCGCGGCAGGACGACAAGGACGCGCCAATCACGTCATGTGCCGTCGCTCATTGCTGCCTCTGCCTGCCCGCCTGCCTGCTGCCGCCCTTGCTGGAGGGGAGTGCCTCACCACGCCACGCTACGCTCCGCCGCCGTGCTGTGCCGCATCGAGCACCGAGCAGACTGAGGGCTGCGGCGAGGGCGAGGCGAGGCGAGGGCGAGGCGAGGCGAAGCGCGAGGCACGGCGGGACGGGCGGGGCGGGCGGAGCGCGCCGGCCCGGCAGGAACACCCTGAACACCCTGGCCGGGCCGGGCCGGCTCCAGGCCTGACGTCACCACCCCCACCCCTATGGAGCCACGCCGAGCCGCGCCGAGCCACGCTGACTGTAGCAGAGCGCCGCGCCGCCGCCCGCGCCACCCCGCCAGAGCCCCTCACCTTTCCTGCCCTACCCCTCACCCTCACTGTCCGCAGGCCCGCAGCCCGGTCCTTGTCCCTTTCATGTTCGAGGGCTGCTGATTGCCACTCGCCCGGATGTCGCTTCGATATGGCTAGCAAGGCTAGCATACTGCCACATTGAACATGGCGTCATCGGCTCCACTGGCTCCACTCGCCGGAAGCAATCGGAATGGGCCATCTCCGGCCCAGTGGGTGTGTAAATGAGACGAATCAGTGGAAAAAACAAACAACGCTTTATTTACACAAAGAAGAACAACTGACAATGACGGACTAGGAAGGAACTACCGCACGCGTAGAGGGAAGAAAATGGGCAGTAAGGCCATCGAGTGGAAGGTGTGAGTCAGACTTTCAGAAAACAGGAAAACACATCACGACAAAAAATTTCAACCTTCGTGCATCACGGGAAGAACCACGTTACATCGAAGCCGCCAATTGGAGGACTAGTTTAACACGAACAACGATAAAGATAAATCAGAGCTGAGACGAAGTGTGAAACTCGCCGTTCGCTAATTACGCCCTGCTGGACGGAACAATCAAGAAAACAGGGTGCCTGCCTGGCGGGTTGCGCAGACAGCGACCCCCGACATTATTTTGTTAGTGTGGTTGGAACCGCGCGCACCGCACAGAAGCAACCCCCCTGGGCCCGGCCCTGGGCCAGGCCCTGGGCCAGGCATGGCTCACAAAGGAATAGTACAGTGGTTGCGCCTCCCCGCGTCCGGCCCTCCGGCCTCCGGCCCTCGACAAAGATAACCGCCTGCCCGCCAAGCAGCCCGCCAAGCAGGCCGCCAAGCAGGCCGCCCAGCCGTCCGGTCGACAGCGGCCAGGCAGACCGAGTGATCGGGGAACCGCGGCGCTGCTTCCGTTTCGGAATCACTTCCGCTTCTTCTTCTCCTCCGCGCTGATCTTGTCCTGCTTCTTCTGCTGCTCGGGCGAGCTGGTGAGCTGCTCCAGGGACGGCGTGGGGCCGCCCGTCCCGCTGGCTCCGCTGGCCACAGCGGCGAAGGTTTTGTGCATGGTGCGGCGGCGCCCCCGGTTGGTCGCCCGGGGAGTCGCGGGCACCACGACCATGGCGTCGGCGTCGCCGTCGTCGCCGGCCTCGGCGGCCTCGGCGTCGACCGCAGCCGCCGGCGTGGCGCCATCCACCTCCGCCGCGGCGCAGTCGTCGCCGACCTCTTGCTCCTCGGCACCCTTGGCGCCCTCGGCCACCTCCTCCTCGTCCTCGGTGTCGTCGTCCTCCTCCGGCCCCTCCTCCTCCCTCTCCAGGAGCTGGCGCCGCTCCTCCGCCTCCTCCTCCTCCTCCTGCTTGCGCAGGTAGGCCGGCAGCGAGATGCACGCGCTGACCAGGCGCAGCAGCACCCAGGCGGCAAAGGCCAGCGCCAGGTAGGCCGTGGCCGTCACCAGCATCTTGCACACGTCCACCGTCACCTGCTGGTACCGCATCCTGCTCCTGGGTCCTGGGGCATCGAGAAAGACAGCCAATTCATTTCCGGGTACGTAGAGGACCACTTTCAAACGGGGCCGGGGGCTGGCCGGGGATCTTGGGGGGTGGAGGTAACATCTGAATCAGGGCCAGGCTCGCCAACTTCGGGCTGACACGCTGACACGACACGCAGCAACGCCCTTTCTTTTTATTCCCCCACTTTCCAAAAAACTTTCCACTCGAGCGGCGACAACGCGACATCCCAACTCCAGGGCTCCAATTCAGAGAGGAAGTTGATTTCAGAAAGCCCCCTCCCCCTTTCTCGGATCCCCCTTCGCCGCTGAGTAATAAGTTTGCCCTTATTCAGTCAAACTCGCAGAAACATTCCCCCTCTCCCCGTACTCCGTACGAACCTTCTTCTGGCTGTCGACACACGCGAAGCTCAAGTCCGACTGGCCGGGGTTGCCGGGCTGCCGGGACGGCGCGGGGGCTCACACCTCGGTTGCGAAGCCCCCGCGGGGTCCGCGCCGCCGCGCCATTCGGAGGAGCGGCTCGTCGCTCTCTCTCTCTCTCGCACCCTTGCACAGTGCCCCGGAAGTGCGACAGGGCCAGAGCGACGGAGCGACCCTTCGGAATGGCTGGGCTGGTGGCGGTAGTGGCGGTCAGCGAGGAGGGCTCCGGCGGGGACCCTCGCGGCGCGGCGTCGATACTCCGGTCGATGGCGCCTCAATAGGTGTGAGCGGGACAGACGGGGCTGTCAGCCAGCGCGCGCCATTCCGCCACGACGCCGCCGCGGGCCGGGCCTCTTGCGATCAGAAAAGGGCGATAAAAGCTCAACACTGAAAAGGCGATGAATGTTGTGCCCACCACGACACTGGACGCGGTGCGCGGTGCGTTCGATCCGCGAGTTTGACGTTGTGGCAGGAGGACGACAGATAAGAGCCATGAAGAGAACGTCAACTCATAAGGACGCCGAAAGGGCGCGCGAAAAGGCATGTCGTGCCCCCCCCCCACCTTTTCGGCTCAGGGACGGCTCCAGAAAAATAATTTCGGAGTACGCCATGGTGTTACAAAATGACTTGCGACGAGCTAGAGAATTCAAGAACTCTTTGGGGGAGGGGATATAGATTGTGATGATGATGATGATGGTGGTGGTGGTGCTGGTAATAATAAAAATAATAATAATTCCAAATGTTGTAAAAGATAAACCTTTATTCAATAAATTTCTGCTTTGAAGAGCACGAATAAAAACTAAACCGTCTGTAACCTGATGACTTACAAGTGTAATATACTCCAATGATGAGAAAAACAAAACATGATTTTAAAATGAAATTGACTAGGATCAATCCATTATTAGCAGTACACAAACAAACAACTGTATGATGAATTTAACAGTTCCATGATTAGCAACACAAAATTATCAACATACATACTAACTCTGATAAAAACAAAGAAGATAAATGCACGGAACGTTCCTGAGCTGGTTGAGAAACATGTGGCATTACTACAGCATATAATAAAAAGGTACGGTGGGGTATGTTAAGAGGGCCTCATTTCTGATTCTATTTAAACCACAGCACCAACAAAAATGTAGATATAAAGCAGCAATGCAAACTAGTTTCCTGTATTACAAAGCAAACAAAGGTAATTTTCAGAATCTACGTTAAGTAAAAGTAGTTCTTACAACTTTAAAAAAATTGAAACAATGTTGAAACTAAGAGTGACAGAGAAATTGGAACTGAATTATTCTTGGAACTAATTCCATCAAAAAGAAGCAAATTGAACTAAGAATAGCTTAGAGCACATTTTGAGTATTATGGATCAAACAAGGGGTGGGGAAAAGAAAAATAGACATAGCTTATGTCACACAAAACAAAAATCGGTCAGTATGTTTACGGCATGGTGGGCCTAGAGTTCCAAGAATCTAGGCAGGCCTTGCCACGTCATGTAAAAAAAATTTCATAACTGAAAATAACTTTTTAAATAAATAGTGCATTTTGAGACAAAAAAGGCAAGTGACACCGGAATAAATTGAAGGCACTACCTAAATGCAAATTCAACACTAGACATAAGAACCACAGCCAAATGCAACAAATTGCTTGCCTTTCTAGTGACTATTAAAGTAAATTGTGGCACTCATAATTAGCATTCTAATGGCAAGCATGAGTTACATAACAATATGAAAGGAACTCTTTCATTACATCTTTACAAAAATAATTATAACCAATAATTTAGCCAATTAATATGACACATAGAGAAGTTAAGTGTTACATTCATCAAAAATATGGTATAAAACAATATACATGGCATATTTAATAAAATATTAACCTCATCATAAAAATAATGCACTAGCTGTCAATGATTTTTTTTTCTGTAAGGAACTGTCAATATTAACACTGTACAACAGCAGGCCCCATCTTTTCAATGATTACAAGGGTAGAAAATCAAACAAGAAGAGGTAATCCCTAATTAATTACTAGTACTTTAAACATCTAGTTTGCTTGTCCCATTTTCACTAACAGCAAAGACACTACTACCTAGCTACTCCCTATTAAGTATGAATAATAGCTACACTATTAGTTGCATTTAGTGTACAGCAATAAAGACCAATTGTACAGGACTTAGCATACATCACATACAACATATATATAAGTATCAGGGAAAGAGCACCATGCTCTAAAAAACAAATTTAAACAATAAGAAAATTTGTTTACTTAAGATCTACTTTACAAGCGTTTAACAATAAGTGATCCCTTCTTTCAACATACCACAAGAAAAACAGAAAAAAACATCACAGACTGCACCCAGACTTCCCTTATAGCGCCTCTAACGTCCACTAGGAATGAGATGAAGTTAAAGAAGGGTACTTTACAAAAGGGACAGATAAGGTAAGCTTGCTGACAGCTAGAAAGCTGTCAAGGACATGTGTCATCTTTTGGGTTCGACGGCGTAGATAGAGACGCAAGCATCCGTGGATCCAGCAGCCAACATAGCGCGCTGAGGGTGAAAAGCTAGACAAGAGACTGGGCCAATGCGAGCTCCCATGAAACCTTCATGGTACTTGATAGTATTTATGAGGTGACCTTGAAGATCATACATAGCCATCTGGTTGAGAGAGCCACTGGAAAAAAAAGTGGAAGAAGAAAAGATTAGACAATCAGTATGGGTCCATACAAGGTATTTCAAAACAGTATAATAATGATGATTATTTACCATGAGAAAACATTAGCCTGTTTATGTATAGCCATTGCAGTCATTTCTTGGTGAATTTGAAAGCCTGCAGGACTTGAATCTTGTCTCAAATCGAAGAACTTCACTTCACCCATAACACTACAGATTCAAAAAAACAAACACAGAAAGTGTGTAAATGTTACATGAAGTGAACAGAGAAATGTTGGTATTGAAAACTATTGGTTCAAGAGAAAAGAAGTGAAGACATATTATCTTACCTTCCACTGATAATTGTGTTGTCTCTGAGGGCGCAATTTACAACCCATCCAGGATGCTCGCGCCATGTGAGGACTCGAGCTTCATTTTGACTCAGTCTGCGGTCAAACACTCTTATGGATCCATCCCCACAGCCAGCCACAACAATCTGCCCGTCTGTACACAAACCAAATATAAAATTACGGCAATCACTTTTAATAGGGGACTTTCCGTACAAGTATTTTCAATGCTGTTACCTGAAGAGAGGCTTGTGACGCAGCTGTTGCTATCAGTAGGTATGTCACGTACACGCAATTCTTGATTAGCATCCCAAAATCTCACCACTTTTACATCTCCAGAGACGACCATGGTAAGAGTGTGTTGTTCCCAGCTTACAACTAGGCCAGATGAAGCTAAAAAAACATTGGTTTGGTTATTAATTAAACAAAAAGGCAATTACCAAGCAATCAAACAAAATAACAGCTAATAGGATGCAATTAAGAGTAAACAAGATAATGAAAATGAGTACATATACGAGCTACAATAGAAGTGTGTACTGCTTACTATTGGCAATAACTAAACAATGCAACTACATGTACTTACATTTCCTTCCATGTTCTGTAATTCCTTTAGGTAGAGAAAAAAAAGGAGTAAAAAACAAAACAAAAAAGTAATTAGATTTGGAAACTTATTTGTTTGACTGTAAACAAGTGTCTTAAAACTAAACATGTCATCAAAAGTTGAAAATAATTTCTGAGGGTCTACTGAGCTCAGAACATGTACCCACAATCATAGCAAGTTCTCTTTCATTTAAAATTTGTCAAGCGATGGTTTCAGAGTATGGCTCCTATACCTACCATTGACAGATTTTGAAGTGGGTGGAGCTTCAGCTAGAGCCTGCCAGGCTGCAACTAAACTGAGTCCTCCAGTCGAAGATGCAACACCATGCAAGGCAGATTGGTGATTCCACAATCGCAGAGACCCATCATCAGCTCCTACAAGGAGCAGCGACACATCGTGTGGGTTCACAAGGTCCAAAGCTGTTATTCTTACAGGTCCTTTCAAGCTTTTACTACTGGTGTTTGGGAGATAGGCTAGCCTAGTGCTAGTGTAATAATCCCAAAGCCTTGAAACAAATTAATTCTCAGAGTTAGTCCTATTGTAGAAATTTTTAGTTTAAGTTAGATGAAGTTTACAGAGCTCTATACTCACCCTACTGAATCTTTACCAGTAATAGCAACTATAGGTTCATAAGGTTGGAAAAGAACTACAGTTGGGTTATGTGGGTATCGAACATTGAAAACTTGATTTTCTATACGTGGTTGAGACATTTTCTTCTGCTCTTCTCTAGCTTCTGTTCTTAAAGTAGCATTTCGTATGTATCTAAAATCATCATCAAAATGTCATTAAGTTAATATAGAAGAGGTTCACAAGGTAGAAAGAAATTTTGTAGCAAAGTAGAAAGCTCATACCTCCATTCTCGTTCATAAAATTTGTTACTTTCAGCATCATTATCTTCAATAAATCTCATGATGGGCTGGGCAAAATACTTGCAGCTCCATTCAACAAAATTTGTATTTATCAACGGTTTTCTTTGCCATGTACATTCATCAGACTCCTCAGAAATCTTTACATAAAATGGGGAAATCAAGGATTTTCTTTTTTTAAAAGGAAACACAGAAATAGTACAAATAAAATCAAATTCAACAGAAAAATCCTACTTACAGTATTCGGGACAGTCTTCCTAGACCGGACAAAAGGGTGAGCAGGTCTTGAGCCGATACGATGGAGATCAGTGGTTGAGCCACTAGTAGGAGGAGATTCCCCACTAAAAAATGAAAGAAATACAACAATTTTAAAAACTACTTAAACATAGACAGTTAGACAAAACAACCATAGACTTCAAAACTCAATTACGTTAAAAATGTTGGACGACTAGATGGTGATGGAGGGAGCGAAACAGAAGATGATATTCTTGTGTCACTTACTTCTCTATGAGAAATAGTCTCTTTTACCTGAGCAACCACAAAAAAGATTTAATTGAACACACTCATACAATGTTAATGTTAACTTCTTGACCAAAGAAACTATAGTTAACAACCACTAATTTTTGTACCTGCTCACGAATGTACTCCATGACCTGCTTTGCCATCTGGCTGGCCCCAGGATGTGGGTCCTGCTCCATCGCAGCAAGGCCCACCCACAGCTTTTGGTAGATGCTTCCAAATGCCGCACTGGGCAAACTAGCCATACTGCCAGGACCTGAAAGCACATTTCAAGGACCTCATTAAGAGATGACTGATGCACACATCCAGCAAAAAGTCTTAACTACAGAGTACAGATGCATCTAAAATACACTAAGAGGAAACTAAATATGCTTGCCCACATCAGTTTTGTGCCGGAAATTTGGGAAAAATGAAAGAAAAAGAATGATTCAGTGAACGAACTGTGTACACTCCATGCACAGTTCACATTATACAGAAAGCTGTTTCTACTTGCCTAGCATGTACTGGAGCAAAGTCAATGATAAATTGCTGCCTAAGTTGCCTTAAACACAGAAAGAAAAATTGAAACAAAAGAGATAGTGTGTTGAAGACATGATTTAAACATTTTCATTCAAATCAAGTGAATAAAATCCCCGACATTTGAAAACACAGATATTGATACAGGAAAGTCACTTCATGATCATGACTAAACACAACAACTAGTGAGAGGACAAATGCAGCAATTATTTCAAATTTCATTCAATACCCACATCATTGTATGCCATGCAATTATAAATAAACTGAATACTTCATAAACACAAACAAGAACAAAACTATGTTTGGAAAAAATGCTCAATACAAAACAAACAAGGTCGCATCTAAATCTAGACTGAACATTGAACATTGGGCTCACCCATGCTGGATATAGAACTGGAACTGGAAACACGCTTGATGCGGTCAGTGCCTCCTTCTCCAGCACCACCATCAAGCAGGACTGTGGTAGGCGATAGCATCTTCAATCGATCCCTCGAAGCAATTCTTCTTATACTAGTGGCAGGTGACAACAGCATATCTGCCACACATGTTAGTACACAACACTCAAACTAAAACCGTTACTTCAAACATTACCAATCTGTCTGGGATTCATGCAACGCGATGCAATGCAATGCAAGACGAGTTACTCTCAAGCAATTAATTAATTTGAAAAATGTAATCAGAGAATGACCATATTAGCCATAAGGTCACACACTATCTTTAAAAGAATAAAACAATAGTGGGAGGAAAAGAGCTAGGTACACTACAAATATTGCCACCACTTACCTGTCGTTGCTGATATAAGTGCAGAAGAGGTTCCATCCTTTGCACGCCCACTTTCTTGTAGAGCTACTGAGATGAATGAGTTCTCAAAAAGTAGAACCATTGACTGAAGAGCAATTATTAATTCCTGAAAAACACAAATAAAGTTTGACACCATTTAATTTTTAAATCAGAAGATTATGAAGTAACCAGAGCAGAATACCAACCTTTCTCACAAGATGACTCATGTCATACATTGTTGTGTTAAGTAACTTCATTGCTACACCATGGTCAATTGTATTAGCATGTTCACTTCGCTCAACAACAGAACTGATAAATGTTCCCAGTGCATAGACAGCTGCAGCACGAACTTCAGGGACAGGATCAGACAAAAGGGTGTACAGCTTTTCATGTGCAATATCTCGAACACCACACCAGCGAGCTGGGGCATAGTTTGTCCAGAGTCGACCCAGACAGATAGCCAGCCATTGCCGCAGCAGTGGAGAAGGGTCAGTCAACTGCACAAGGCAAATGGATACTAAACTTCCCTGCAGGGCAACTTCTTGGCCCTGAGGGTAATTATTTACAACACTTGCCAAAACAAATGCAGCAAGTGTGCGGTGCTCACTCTACAGGTACAGATAAGCAAGGCATTAATAGAAGTGACAAAATAAAGGTTAGTTTAGTAGTGTAACAAAACAGATTGATAAATATATTAACTTACCGGCATTGACTGGTCTTGTAACACAGACAAAAAGTATTTGTGTCCATTGTCTCTAACCAAATCAGCTTGACATGTCTGAACATGAAAAATTCAATATAACTAACAAATTTTGAAAATAGAGGTTTTCTAGTGGAAAGATAAGAATTTTAGAAAGTACATAAGTAAACCCAAAACCAAGTACTTACACTATCAACAGCAAGAATTTTGGCCCATATGAAGACTAGCAGTGGACGCAGTTCACGAGCAGAGGACTGGAGTAATTTTAGTACATAGGGAAATATACCAACAGAAAGAGCAAGATTAACTGCCCAAGGACCAAGATCAAGGAATCTCCCAAGAAGTTCCAAGGCTCTTAAACGATGAACTTGTGATAGTAAAACCTAAAATAAATAGAATTTAAAACAAACCGCACTTTGCCATATTATCAATGATCCAGGTTGGTAAATGGGTGTACCTGTAACACAACTGGTAATTGTTCAGGTGGATCCCGTACTTCAGATCCAAGGTGCAGCCAGACTTGAAAGGCTGTGAGCTGTTCTTGGAAAAAAACTGAATGTTGGAATGGTCGCTCGTTTTCCAATACACCAGGAAGCTGTGCCAAACATAAATCTAAGGCCAAATCCCATGCATGCCACATGGGGTGTTGATGTGTGTGGGGCAATCTTGGAGAAGATACCGGAGTGCAATCATAAGATCTTAATATACGTTCCGCAAGTAAAAAATTTCTGAATAATGAAGCCACAAGCAGATCCTGTCTAAATAGTTTCTGGAAAAGATCTGGAACAATTAAGGCATTAGAAATAGAAATTTTATCAAATAGGAGGAAACTGAGTGGGAAGAAAAAAAGAACTGTCAATAACCTCTTGGCAAGGTGTTCCAAGCAATAGTGTCAGTTATGGCTGTAAATATCCAATTTAATTCACCAAGCATTGTTCTTCTATCATTTAGCTGCCCAGGAATCCTGCAACATTTAATAAATTTACTTAGCAAGGTTGTTCTCATAAACTGTTTCCTTATTTTCAAGTGTCAGGCTGAAATACTGTATTCCCAATTTAGTATAAATACATACTTATCAATTAGATCAAGAGTTATTTTTGGTATGAGTCTTGCTGAGTTCTGCAACACAAACCTGAAGGCAAACCAGAAATTTAAAAAAATCAAAACTGATAATTAAGCATTAACACATCTAAAAGAGTAACATACCATCTGAGAGCAATTTTGATAGGAGTTGTTAAGCATGATGTAAAAATGTCTGCAGGAAGGTCAGGATTCATTGGCAAAATTTGAGATGCTGAGCAAGCAGCCAATTGGATGCAGTTTTTGAAACAAGGTGCAGCGCCAGATCCTCTTGTTCCACTGAGCTGGTACAAGATGAAGAATTGCAGATATTCCCAAATATTTAGTAAAAGGTACAAAATTAATTTATAAGTTAAAAACTGATACATGAAGAACTTACCTCATACTCCCTTTCATGCTGCTCCGCAAACCCCTTAAAAGAATCCACAATTATTCCAGCATTGGAGCAATCATAAACATATATACTTGGTGCCCCCATCCAGGTCTGCAGATCATACACAGACAGAGGAATGTATTGAGTGTATGTCTGAAACAATTATACCTCATTAGAAAAGCAGCAACTTTGTAATTTCTTTTACCATTAACTTTCGAATTTTTGATTCACACAATTATCATATTGCTTCAGCACTTACTCTGTTAAAGACCCAAATTTCACCATTAGCAGTGGGTTTCGGAACACCATGTCCATTGTAATGAAACAGAACACGTTCTTCTTTGGCATTCCTCCTCAGAGACGTGCATAATTTTTTTACTTCGTCTGCTGTGGGATCTAGGCTTTGCTTGTACCTTGCTCGAGGCTGCCAACGCTCGTACTGTTTTTGCATGTTTGCACCAATAGTTTCTAAAGCCTTTGCAGGGCTCAGAGATAAGGGATCTGTCAAAGAAACAGTTATTATGGGAAATTAACATTCATCATTCTAAAAATTTTAAGATGGGAGAGAAATGCTGCAACTATACCTATCCAGCATTCCAGGCGGGCACAAGGTTGAGTTTTGACGATATCGGGAGGATCCACACCAACATTTAGACATAAAACCAGCGCAACACTCACAGTCTTCATCTGAAATAAATCAATAGGGGAAAAATTGGAGGGTGTACAGTTCGGTTTCGAAGTTCCACCAGTAAACTTAATTAGAAAAGAGCAGAATTAAAAATGACGTGAGCGAGGCAGAGCTCCTTAGTAACGCAAAGAAGTGAAGGGTACCGAACGCGACGACGCACTTGGTTAGGTTAGGTTTGCACGCTTCATAAACTTTGCCAACGAATGCAGAAGTGACAATAAAAATGAAACGCCATGGAGAGAAAATCAATCGACAATTTTACCAATATCGGGATTTGGGGATAGTGTGCGGGAATATTAAACGAGAGGAGCGCAAATAAACAAATACAAGGAGACTCCAAAGAAGACTCTTGCCAGACCTCAGAACCAAGCCCCAGGACTCAAATACAAGAGCGACCTGACTAAAACGGCACAAAAACAATACAGATTTACTATTACAGTGTAAATGAAACACGGAAGAGCAGGGAGAAATAGACATGATGATTCTGAACTATGGTACAATGCCTCGTTGGTTAGGCAGCTTAGCATCATCAAGTATCATTACCCTTTCTTTCATTCTCCATGTTTGTGTTATTGCAGTAACACCTTCGATAGCTTCTGTGTGTCGACTTTTCGAAAACGCCAGAGGAAGCTGCCAATCTGCAGCAGCTAATTCTGTTTCTTCTTCCATGTTTATGATTCGAACAGCTGATGTTCATCCTCCATGCAATCCACTACACTAGAGGAGAGGGGGAGGAGGCGGAGGAAAGGGGGAACGACATAAGAAGGCGGTCAAAGGCGGTGGCGGCGGTGCCTGCTCCGGTGTGCTCGACGCTCCTGTCCTGTCGGTGAAATCATGGCTGCATCCACGGAACGAGTAACAGAAGAAGTCAACGGGGATTCTGACGAACTTCAAGATTCTGACAAGTCGCAGAAAAAATCAGCCAAACATGACTCAGGGGCGTCGGATTTGGAAAAAGTCACGGACTTCATGGAGGAGAAGGAAATTAGACCGACTGAATTCTTTCAAGGGGTATGTTTGTTTATTTCTTAAGTATACATTTATAGGTGGGCTCTTCTTTCTGGTATGTAAGTGAAACATTTTCCCATCATTTACACAGAGTTTGCCATATGATCTGTGCGCGTGTCGAGTAATTTCGACTTTCTCACATTGGCCGCCTAACCTAACTTTCAGTTCTGGTCTCACATGGTTCAATTACTCAATTTAAATTTTTTACCCCCTCTGTCCGAAAAACTTTCATTGCATGTTTGTCTGAGTCTGTTGATATTTTCTGTAGCGAAATCATTTCAAGTTACATGTGGCATTGTGGAAATCTTCAAAACCCTTGTTGTGGTTATTCCCTCTGATATTTCACTGACTTTCTTATTGTGCTTTTGTTTCAGGCTTTGTCAGTTCTTGGAGCTCAAAGAGAGAGGGACCTAGCAGCAAAGCGCGAGCGTGAAGTTGAACTGTCCAAAGTCTCAATCAAGAAAGATGATGTTGAATTAATAGTAGGTGTTTCTCTGTCTCACTGTTTGCTATTTCAATTTTTCCGGTCCTTTCAATCTTGTAACAAATTTGAGTCTGTTTGTCTCACAGGTTAGAGAAATGGAAATTACTCGCCAATTAGCAGAAAGGAAATTACGCGAACACAGAGGTAACGTGGTTGAGGCCCTTCAATCTCTGACTGACTAATCTTGAAGCTTTATCGTTCATCATTGTCTCTGAAGAAACTTATGCCCCTCAACTGAACTCTAAACGTTTGCAAGGTGCCTTTTGTTTTTAATTTCCAACTCAAAATGTGCCAGAAGCCTTGAAGATCTTGAACTGTGAAACGCATGACTGCTCGAGATAGTGGTGTTGTAAAGTATTGTATCACTTTTCTTTCCACATGCACTTTGTTTTTTTTCATTTCCTGTCCCTCATGATTGTAGTGAATTGTAGCAGATTCTCACTGGTCTAAATATTAAAACATCTGTTATCAATAACCCTTTCAGGGCTTTGTCTGAAAGGATAAAATTCCTCAGATATTATATCTGATGACTGAATGTAGTACAATTTATTGTGTCAATACAGTTTTTCAAATCTTGTTACATTTTTTTGTTAAATTAATTTACATTTAAAACCTCTATATTCTCACCATACACAGGAGGGCAAACTTTGTTTTATCATACCAACTCTGTGTTTTTTGTTGTTTTTTTTACTTTTGTTTTTTTAAATATTTTTTTTACCATTGGCTGTATGTGACCAGCCCTTGAAACCATGAAACAAACAATTCACTCATTGACATCATAGCGGAACCATATGCCATTAACACATGTGGAGCGTCAATCTAGCTTCTCTGAATCACGTCTAGTTTTCTTTTGTGTCATCTGTTATCCAATACTGGTTTCACTGCTACTGTTGATTTGTGGCCTCCTGAAATAAGTAATTTCGTCCCGGGCTTGTGACTCCCTCAAGGCGGGGTAGTTCCCCTGGGGGCACAGGCGGCACAGAGAAGGGTTGGGGGTCGCTCCCCCTAGCCCGCCCCCCCTTACTCCCCGCACTCCGTATCGAGCCAGGGTCCCTGGGCGAGCAGCGCAGCAGCGCAAGCCGGAACGCTGCGGAGCGCTGCGGAGCGCCCCCGCCGAAAGGCCCGAAAGGCCCGAAGGGGGCGCCTGCGCGGCCTGCGCACTTGTCCAGCCGCAGCCGCGCAGACACCCCACTCGGCGCGCGTCCCCGAGCGAAGCGCAGCACCGCCGCCAATAGCCGCCACCCCTCGCCGGAGCGACCCACCGAGTGGGGTGTCTTGGCGGTCCTCGGCCGCCAGTGCGCCTCCCTTGTCCAGGCCGCGGCTAGGCCGTGGCCCCCAGGCCCCAGCCAGCAGTCCCAGCCCAGTGCCCTGCCCTGCGCGTCGTCGGCGCGCGTTCGGCGTTCGGGCAGTCGTCTTGGCGGGGACGCCACCAGGACACAGCAGGTCAGTGTTCTGCGTGCCTTTTCCTGTCTGATGGGAGGAGGACTCGAGGGTTGTCGCGCGGAGGCGACGTTGAGGCCTCCAAGCAAGCCAAAGGCCTAAAGAGCGCCCCCGCCCCGTCGGCCCCGTCTCGCTGAGGACGCCGCCACACGGGGGGTGCTGGCGTCGCGCGTCGCGCAGTCCTGCGAGGATCGCAACAGGTTCGTTGTGCAGGGCTGGCCTCCTCGTCGTCGTCGTCCTCGCGCACACCGGCCACCGGACAGTCCTCGGCTGGTCGAGGCCCGTCGCCTGTCCGGTGGGGCGCAGCTAGCCAGCCCGCCCCTCTCCGAGGGATGGCGAGCCGACGCCTGTCTTCTTGTCACACTTGTTGCCTACTTGTGGTATGCGTTCTAGTAGTTTCCTCTGTCGGCGGCGGCGTGGGTGGGAGGACCTGTAGATTTACCGCTGCAAGGATAAGTAAAACTCTAACTAGGAGCGACGTGAGGGCTGTGTGCGATAAGGGGGTGGGGATGGCAAGTGATGGCCTGGATGGCCCCGGGGAGGGAGAGGGGCTCGGAGAGGGGGTGCTGGCCGCGACGAGTATCGATCAAGGCTGAAGCCAGACTATTTAAAGGCATCTTGGTGAGGGGAATCCCTGGACTGGTCGGCAACCCACGGATTTTTTTTCTTTTTTTTTGTCTGTCAGGTGTGGCGCCGCGGTAGGTGGCCGTGGAGCGACTGGAGATGCCTGAGGCGGCGGGCCCGTCGTCGCTGGGCCAGGGCTTGGGCCAGGGCCTGAATCAGGGCCTCGGCGCGGGCCTGATGGCGCAGGGCGCGCAGGGCCTGCAGGCGGGGCCGTCGTCGGGCATCACGCTGGCCGTGGACGGCGCCGGGCTGCCCGGCATGTCCGGCAACGTGCCCGGCATGGCGGAGGGCGCCACGGCCCTCAGCGACGAGCCCGACCTCAACATCTTCGAGAACAAGAGCGGGCTCGCCGAGGACATGAAGTTCCTGGCGTCCATGCCCGAGCTGTGCGACGTCACCTTCATGGTGGGCGAGTCCCGGGAGCCCGTCTGCGCCGTCAAGGCCGTGCTGGCGGCCAGGAGCAAGTGAGTGAGCACGGGATAGCGCGAGAGCGTCAGCCGTGCGCGCAGGCAAGCCCGCCGGGCTCGGCTGTGTTGCGGCACGGCCTACCCTCGAGTTCGCAGGCGCTCCAGTCACAGCATACGTTGCCGTGTTGCCTTGCAGGGTGTTCCACAAGATGCTGTACCAGGCGCCCAGCCCGCAGCGGAGGAAGGACAACGCCCCGAAGGAGAACAAGCTGCGGCTCTTCCTCAAGAGGAGCTCCGAGCCGCTTCTCAACCTGCAGAACGCGGCCCAGCAGGTGAGTCGCGCCATTCCCTTCTCCCTCACAAACTGTCCGGCCACGGCCGTGCACGGCGGCGGTGGAGGTGCGCACCTCAACTTGATCTGGTGTAACATGTGACGCGACTCAAGGAGACTGTGTGTGTTTGTAGCGGGGCTACACGCAGCAGCTGGCGCCGATTCAAGAGGTAAACAGTGTGGCGATGGCCGCGTCGCGTCGCGTCGCCTCGCGTCGCCTCGCTCGCTCGCTCTCTCTCGCTCCGCGGGCACCGCGCATGCCAGCCCGGCCAGCCCGGCCATGCGGGCTCCTTCCTAGTTAGGCCCTTCACGTTGTCGCGGCTGCTGTTGCGCACTCGGCGTTCAGTCCCGCAAAGGCGAACCAGCAGGCTTTCTCACAACACGTAACCTGAAAAAGGAAGAATCAAAGCGCTGTCGTTTTTTATTTTGTTTTTAAGAAAGTGGCTTCTGACACAGTAGAACTTGAGATGCTGTCATAGCGAAACTTTGAGTAGTCGGAGCTGAGTTGTTGTTTGATTAGGATTGTCTACCAACCACACTGCGCAGCACTTTGCCTGGCCTTTTGGACAAGGACCGCGGACAGCTCTGAGTCCATTGTTGAGGAGACCCACTGTTATCATTCTCTTTGCACCCATGTCGTGGTTATTGTTCCAGGCTCATTGACTTTGTCTATTTTCGCTCTTTCCCATCTTACAGCAAACTTGCTTTCACTGGGGGAAGGGGGGTGGCAGATTATTTTGTCTGAGTTGGATTTCAAATAAATGTTGAATTTTAGTTGGCTTGTATTCATACTATTTTATTTATTCATTTATTTTTACATTCGCAAACATATGCGTCTAGCACTTAATGGACGTTGTCCACTGTAATACTTAGGTTGCCTCAAATTTATTATTGCTTTCTGAACAATGGTCTAGTCTAGAATGGGGTGCTTGTGGGTGATGTTGAGCAGCACTGTAGTTTGGAAATCTATGCAGGCATTCAGTAGAAAAAAAGCAATTAGATGAAAACAATGTGTCTTCTAAATTGTACAGCAAACCATATCAAGCTGAAAACCTTGACTTTGCCAATATCACTGCTATCTGTAAAAAGCAATGTTGAAAAATGAGTTACCTCTTCTTTGGTTCCTCTGTGGTAGACTTGCTATGTTAGCTGAAAGTACGTACTGCGTCGTAGGTAGCTGAAATAACAGCCGACATCTTCTTAGCGTTGTCTTCTTCATGCTGCTTCTCACTTCTCACCCCCTGACGTAGATGTCTGTCGTGACTGGTGGACTCGGTGTCCGTGGCCCTGACGCTTCCCTTGGCGTTGCAGCCCGCCTCGGCCCAGCACCAGACTGTGCACGTGGAGGAGTTCGAACCGGACGTCTTCAGGCAGCTCATCGAGTACATCCACACGGGCTGCGTGACGCTGCAGCCGCGCACCCTGCTCGGTGAGTCGCCGAGTCTGTTTGCTCACCGCCCAGTGGCCCCAGTGGTGACACACTGTCTCGTTCCATTTCGCAGGCGTGATGAACGCCGCCGACTTCTACGGGCTGGACGAGCTGCGGCGGGCGTGCGCCGGCTTCGTGCAGTGCTGCATCAACGTGGACACCGTCTGCGCCCTGCTGGCCTCCGCCGAGCGCTACATCCAGTACAAGTGCACCAAGAACCTCGTGCAAAAGGTGAGGACGCTGGCGCTGTCTGGCGCTGTCTGCCCGGGGACTCGACGCCAAGCCCCTCTGCCTGCTTGCAGGTGCTGGAGTTCGTGGACGAGCACGGCAACGAGGTGCTCAACCTGGGCTCCTTCACGCTGCTGCCCCAGCACGTGGTGCGGCTCATCCTGTCCAGGGAGGACCTGCGGGCTGACGAGTTCACCAAGTTCCAGGTTCGATTCGCGAATTCGCGCCGAGCTCTACCTTTTATTGGATTTTGTTTCGTTTTGTAAAATGGGAATGACTAAGCACGGCGTGACTGTGTGTTCAGGCCGCGCTCATGTGGGGCAAGAAGTACTGCGACTCCAACTCGCACATCTCGCTCAAGGAAGTGATCGGGAACTTCATCGAGTTCATCCAGTTCCACAAGATCCCCGCCAACGTGCTGATGCGGGAGGTGCACCCGCTCAACCTGGTCTCGGCCTCCATCATCATGAATGCGCTCGCGTACCAGGTGCGGACCGGCAGCGGCCAAGTGGACGGGGACGGGGAAGACCTCCCGCGGCCCGCGTCGTTGTCTAGGGGCCAGGCGGGCCAGTCCTCTCGGTCGGCCTCCGCCAGCACGTCGGGCAGCAACCCGCGTATCGAGGTCTCGCAGTGCACGGCCGCGGCGGGGGCGGGCACGCAGGACTGAGCTAGCACGTCGTAGCACGTCCTTGCGCGTGACGCCGCGTGATGCGATGAATCCTTCAAGACGTGCCTCTTGCAGCCTCTTGCCTCGCTCACGTCAAGCTGGCGAAGCTGGTGAAGCTGGTCCAGCTGGTCGAGGCCGTGGAGTCTCTCTGGATAATTCAGGATAATTCCGGGCGGCTGTTGCAGGCAGACCCAACAAGTGTCGACCCCGGGAAGCTTTCCCCAAACCGAGTGCGGCGATCTGGACAGGGCCGATCGATGAGTGTGCAGTCGTCGCTGGACCCCTGCGGCTCCAACACCACCCTGTCCAGCTCCGGCTCGTCCGAGATGATCTCCAGCGAGGGCGGGGGCGCTTCCGGCGGCGCGGCCTCCAACAGCGGCAACAAGCACTCCGGCACCGGGTCCGGGAACAGCTAGGCCTTGTACGGCTAGGCCATCTAGGGCTGCTAGGTGGAGAGGGCCTCCCAGTCCCGCAGTGTAGGGGCGGCAGCGCGACAGCGCGACGGAACCTTGTCTTTCTTTTGTTTGAGCCAACTCGCTGTCCAGTCTACTACACTTGTTGCTAAAGTCTGGATCGTTGAATGTCGCGATGGTAAACAGTGTTACCGTTCATTTGTGTTGAGACAGTGATGTCGTTCTGCGTTGTTCGCGCTGCCCATGACTGATAAAGGTCGGTGACACGTTCCCCAGTCCGCGGCAGCGCGGCAGGGGGGCAGGGCGGCGCCATTCTGGGAATTCCCCGTGCCAAACCAGTGAACTGGGCTCTTCCCTCGGGACGGCCCCGTTGCCGTTGACTTATCTTTGGTACCTGAGTAGGAGACGAGACGAGGCACACAGCTCGGGCAGTGTGCGGAGAGGCCGTTGCATTCTGTGCCTCCCCTCTGGTCCTTGTCACTCTATTTCGCTCGCTGGCCAAAGTTGAGAGACGCGAAACGCGAAGAGAGGTAGGCGCGCTTGAAGCTTGAAGTCGACACGGCTCAGTAACAGCGGCCTAATTCTGTTAACCAGAGAGACAGTATTTAGCCCTATCCTAGTCCTGTAGCAACGTCCCCAGCCTTGTAGAGGCCTTCTGGACCCCCGGTCTTAGAAGAAATCGCTTCTATATTGATATAGCAGTCCCCCTTGTTAGGAAAGGAATGCCGCATCAATGTGTGAGGGTCTGTCAGAAAGTTATCGGGATCTGAATGTAAGCAGAAAGGGAAGGAATTATACTTATGGTTGGATGAGTTGGTCTCACCATATTAATCAATGAGTCGATCTGACACGAGAAAAGTACCACTATTGTAAAAGAAACTTACTTCTCTAAAAAAACATCTTAAATGATATGTTTGTAACATTTTGTGTGTAATGAAATGTTAGGCAAAAATATATGTATCTGACAATTTGCTTTTAGAAAAAGTGAGTGGGTTTTCTTGCTTTGTTCAAGTGTGTCGTAAATGTAGAAAAGAAGTTTTGCCGATGACGAAGTCTTAAAGACTTAAGAGGAATGATAAGTGGTTATGATTGTCGCTGTTTCAAAACAGATAAGAGATAAAAATCGAGAGGCATTGTATTTTCCTGATTCTTGTCATGTTGTTAGGCTGTTCCAGCTCTCTAAATATTAAATAATCTGCAGTTGATGACTGTGGGAATTATTTGTGTGGAACTTTGTTTTTATGTGTGAAACTAATTTTGTCATGTCTGTGTGGACTCTTCAAAATAATTTTATTTAGGTCTCGCATTCGGACCTTTTCCCCCTTTCTCCTTCTTGCTGTCTCTTTTCCTCTCTTGCATATCAATAGATTGAATATAAAGTTGCCTGTGTTGTTGCAAGAAGACAGTCTTTTTTGTTAATGATAAAATCTAACTTTCCTGTGTGCCAATATAATTTCTGAAAGTTATAGATAAGTTCTCGTTGTGTGCGTTCTCAACCTATCACAATTTTTACTCTGATTTATTTAAATGTGTAAGAGTGCATTTACTTATATGTTGTAAATGAAATACAAATTAATTTTTCTACAGAACTTTGAGATGCTATTTTATTTATACTCCATAAAGACCTTAACATAAACGCAGGGGGAAATCTAAATTTTTCTTTAGCCATATGCCGAAGTTTATGTGGAGGTGGTGAGCCCGTTCTGAGCGAACCGACTGGTCCCCAACACGCACTGCACATCAGTCGTCGTGAGGGAGGGCCCCTGCGACGCGAGCTCGGCTGGTGTAGTCGGTGCGGGAGATGTAGCCGCCAGCCACCCAGCGGGCACCCGTGTAGGCGCTGCGGCCGTGCAGCACCCGCCAGTTGTCCACGAACAGCACCTGGTCCGGGCGCAGCTGCAGCCACCACTCGCCGCTGGGGTCGGTCACTGCCTTGGAGAGTTGCCCCATGGCCTGGTACCACTCCATGACTCTGGCAAACGGCACAGTGCTCATAGCAGCCCGGTCGTACAGATTGTATCTGGCAAAGAAAAAGTAGGAGCAAGAATGAGAGTTCCAAGGCCAGTTTTCGGCATATGAGAGGGAGTATTGGACCAACCTTATCTGTCGAAACTTTCCCGTTATTGGATGCAAATGTAGAACAGGCGAAGTGACACAATGGTGTTGGCCTTTCTCCAAGTACTCTGACTGTATACATGTTTCGATTAAAGTTTGGAAGCTGTTGATGTCCTCATCTTTTACTTTCTGGGCAGCACGGAAACCATCCACCAATAAGGTTTTCCCTCCACTGCCCTTGTGGCTTAATACATGGAAGACTTGAAGGCTGAAAAAAATAAACTGTAAATTTTTTTTCAACACAAAGAACTTTTAAGAATTCCTATCAACGCTCATAAATGCATACCCAGCTGCCTCTGAGAAGTAAGTGTTGTCATTGTGGGCAGCTAATGCCTGAGTTGAGTATGCAGTGTCTTCATGGTATTCACCATCTGGCTTCACTTCCCAAACCTCACCAAATAGTGTTTTTTGAGCAGGGGCTACTCGTGAGATCACCTTTGCTGTAGCCTCTACAGTAGCGTCAACCTGTCAACACAATAATAATGAAATGAAATTCATTACTATCACTGTGCTGGAAACATATTTGAAAATCTACTCACACCCTCCACAATTCCCACTCCAAGTGCTGTGAGTGATTTCATGAGCTTGAATAATCCCTCATCTGTCTCCAGAAAGGATTTGACAGGAACGTGAGCAACGGAATCAGGCATTCCTTTCCAGAGAATGCGAGTTGGAGCAGAGACTCTGTTACTATATGAATCAAATGATTGCAAACTTAGCCATTTAACAGAATACTTTGAGGCATGTCCATCAGGCCCTGAAAAATAAATAGTACAGCTTGGAGAAGATTCTCTAAAACTTGAAGAGTGTAGATTTTGTGCAATCACAGGAAAAGATAGTTACACACTACTTGTAGTTCTTCTCCTGATAAGCGGCACTCCTTAGGTTGAATGGTAAATGGTACACCAAAAGTGTTTACATTCCTTTGATGAGTGGATTTGTTATAGCATGAAGGACATCTGAGAAGGATAACAATTTCTTAGTATAAATTAATTCTGGGTAAATTATGGGACTAAAAATCAAATGCTTGCCTGCAGTGGTCCCTGAGCCAGAAATAATGAAATTTCATGGACGTTAAATCTGGCGAAGACATTACGAGGTGGTCATCTAACAGTTTCAAATCTAGTGGGAAACAAAATTGACACAACATTTAGAATTATGTGCCCTAAAGAAAAGAGGAGAGAAAATAAAACTAATTTTTGAAGAGTCTTTACTGTACTTACTTTGAGAGGATCCATCAGTGACATATCGTTGACATGGTACAATGCATTCCCTGCTCAAGGCATATTCGGATAGCAATGCTCTCGAAAAGAGATATCTGCCACAGTTTTTCAGGAAAAGAGCCATCATTGTCTTTCAAATAAAAGAAGTTCTGGTTAAATCAAAATGCTAGGCCACAGATGTGGAGCCAGTGATTTCTACGACAATATGAGAGAAAGGGTATTGAGAGTGTCCGCATACAAACAAATATATTATTCCCTTCTTCTAACTACCAATTGACAGCTTTCAAACTGCAGTTAGACTCACTCTTGATGCTTTTAGTACTGTGTTGGGGTCACTTTGATACATTCCACCAATTTTCTTATCAGTGACTGTGTATAAATAAACACACAGCTGATGCCGATATGCCGATGTCCACCACAGCCTCTTGTTGCTGATGCTGTTGTTGTTGGCATCCGCCCACAGTGACAGCAGAACAGGCTGTGTTATGTAGTGTGTTGAAAATCAATTACCCTTACATTGCTGTTAATAAGAATAGAGGATGATCAATTTCACACTATTGTTTACGTCAGAACACGTACTGACTAGCTTTAGTTCTACATATTTCAGAAAAAGGCCTAACTACCAGATATGAATGAAACCTGCTAAGGTTATGTTTTCGGTGAACAGGTGTAAGGAACTGTCAAACTTAGAATAGAACATGACAATTGTACACGAAATCATTATTTATTCTCTACAACAGTTCCCTTTTTCTTACTCAGTTTCAAGATCACTTCATCATGGCAAGACAAGATTCAGAAGCTGATGACTTTTGGAACTCCAGTAGCATCAAGTCTTTTAATTTTGATGATGAGGAGGTATGAGTGCTGCCTTTGTACTAAAACATTTATGAGTTTTGAATTTCATGCAGTTTGTTTCTTAGACAGGTGGGGCATTATTTGGAGTGTCCAAAAGTGGCACAGCTCGCCTCTCGCAACAAGTGCGAGCTTCTCTCCCTGGTGAAGATTTTGGAGGAACCAGCGACTCATTGACAGGTTGGTGTGCGGTACATTGGCAATATCCTACATGTTCATTCAGTGGTGAAGTCCATGAGCATGTTATTTCTGTTTTGCAGGTTCAACATCGACTACTCCATCAAATACTGCCCCACCGCTCAGATCTCTTATTTCTGAAAACTGTCTGGCTTCCAGTGAGTCGAATATTTGTCTCTCTTATCGGTCTATAATTTTTACATTCTCAGTGACTTATTTCTTTTCCTCACCAGTTTTGGAAGCTGATCTACCAGATGCAGTCTATGGGGGTCGAACGAAAAAAAATGACATGAAACCTGAGGAAGAAATACGCATGCTCAAACGTCAAGTCCAGGTTTGAAACCTTTTCTGATGCTGTGAATGATTTGATTAAAATGAAGGCTGCCTATGTTTGATTGAAATATAATATCCAGGAAAGATGGGATGCACCGCCTGTTGATTTGACCATAAAAAATATCTTCCTTGGTCGTCCACACTCTCTTGAACCTTATAGAAGCCTGTCTAGTAAACATCTCTTGCTGGATGCGGCGATTAACTTAGGAGATGGAAATGCTATATTAGAGGTAACTAAATTTTAAAAATATTTTTTTAATGATTTTATGAGCATTAAATTATTAATTGATGTGTATTTTCATCATCAGGTTGTCTTATTTCTCGTGCGGACTTTGAAGAAGAGTTTGGTTCATCAGATTCTTGCTGCCAATCCTGTTGCAGCTGCTCACTATGCTAGATATCTTGCCACAAGATTACAAGCCACTGAACTCACTGATCTTTTAGTGTATGTTGTGCTTGCATGCAAACATTTTTAACTACAGTATCAAACTAAATTACAGTATGTCCATTATTAATTCAAATATCTTTCCTCAGGATGCTTGGGAAAAGCCGTGAAGCAGCAGTAAGTAAATACTTAATTAAAATCACCATGATATATTTTGATCGCTTTCATAACACTTTCTTTTATTTCATTGTTATGCAACAATAAACAGATGAAACAATATCAATTGTGCACTGCAACCCAAAGTGTACAGCGACAGATTCAGAAACTGAAATTGTGCATCAGCAGCCACTTTGTTCAAGGAGACCCTAATCTTAAGAAGATAGCTCAAAATCATGTAGCATTACTAGGTAATGTTTTGCCCAGCATTTGTAAAATTAATGTGTCAGCTTTTTTAAAAAATTTGCTCTTATGGTTTTTAGAATGGGAGCAGGCAGTTGGAGCCATGGACAGTGAAGATTTAGTTGGAAAGTCAGCTGTTGGATGTTTAGCTCATGCTTGCCGTCTACACTGGGATGATCCTCGAGGAAGCCCAACAAACCCATTTTCTTTGGCCCAGCTTCATGGTGTCTGTGAGAAACAAGTGCAATGGACGATTCTCTCTGAGAGAGCGTCACAACAAGCTTGGCCAGATATCGACTCAGTTTTCATTACTAAGGTAATCTCAGCTACTCTTCTGCAGTCGAGTCTGCAGTAGTGATATTGGTGCCTGTTCCTCTAATGCTCTCATCTCAATTTTTCATGTTTTTAGAATTGGATTGGTAGTGGCACAAAATTAAAATTGGCTTTGCCAATTGAAAAGGTAGTGATTCAACTGCATTCCAAGGGAGCTCCAGCGGATGTTCTATCAAAATATTTAGGATTTGTCGATGGTCAAGAAAGACGGATCGCTTTAGCGCAGCAGCTTGGGTGTCATAAAGTGGTGATTGATGTCAGTCTTTGCTCAATTTTCTTTGTTTTTTGGGGTATCTGTGTTTAATTTTTAAAATTTGATAAATTTTTCATTTATTCAGGGCTATGCTGCCCTACGTGACCGACAGGGCTTGCAAGGTTACAAAGCAACTTTACATCCGGGATCAGAATCCTTTCTTTATGCTGAAGGGGTACTGAGAGTATCCGTAAGTTTACTTTGTGTAACCTTTATGGCTGCAGCTATTGTCCTCTGGCAAATACTTTAGTCCAATTCTCTGTTCCAGACCACCAAATGGAAGAACTGATCAAATTGACTTTTCAATTAAAACAAGACTTATTTCCTGGTTCTATCAAACAAAGTTTGGACAAGGTAACTGAGAAATGTAAAATTGTAACTCTGTCTAAACTCAAAGGAGGAGGGAAAAAAAGTAGCAACATGTATGTTCACAAGAATTTTTAATTATTGTATAAAACAACAATACTCTACAACACATGCTGGTTTCACTTCTTTGAAACCACACTCCCTAACAGCGCAGCAGGACAAAGCAATCACTGGCCGGCTGTAAGACTAGACAGGTTAAAAAGACAAAGGCTAACTGCTTACACTATATGAAAGTATATACTGTAATCCTCGACATTTTTACATAGCGGACTTTAAAAGAGAGAGACGACTCTGCAGAAGAAGCCTGAGACTCAAATTCTATGAATTTATAATCTTGAACAATATTGATCAGTGATTATATAAAAATTAACATTTGGCAAGGTCAGTCATAGTGACAGAGTGATTGGCAAAACAAATTTGCAGCATCCATATAAAATTAACAGTCATTCTAAGTTTTTGTTAAGGATTTTAAGTGACTTGGTGACCATTTACAGAAGGTTCTAATAAAGGGTTTCCTGCAAATCAGCAAGAAATTGTCAAATACACATGAAACTAAAATGGAGTGCTACATACACAACACCTTTGGATGCAAGGGAGCATTTAGGTACAGGAAGACACTGGTAACCATAAAAACTCAATTTAAAAGAAATCTTATTGCTATTGTTCATGATGGTTACCTCCAGCATCAGATCTTTAACAAATAAATAAAGGAAACGAATTTCCAGACAAGTCCAGTGAGGGAAAACATCACAGACAATCAAACCTCAACAAAAGAATTCAACAGATTTTCATTGCATAAAAAGTGAAGTAACCAACAAACTGAGTATCTAAAATTATTACTAATGTTCATAAGAAACAGAGGTTTGGTCTGAAAGAAACAACAGTACAAGAGAGTACAAGATTAACACAAGAGTAGAGACCAATCAAAAGCCAGAGTATTAGTGTACTGTAATTTCAACAAAGGGAACCATGACGCCTCATCACATAGTCACAAAAGCCAAACACCGATTTCAGCACCAATTGCTGCAAAACATAAAATTCAAGTCCATGAGTCAGAAATTTCTGTTATTACTTTGAAACTTTTGAATAAAAATGAACAGATATAAACGGCAACAGAGAGCCTCAGTCAAATAAATATTATGGTTGCAAAATCAACACCTTGAACAGTACATTGTAAGTTTATACACTTAGAATAAGAGCATTCATACATGTATATATACCTAGTCAAATATGATATATTTTAAATGAACATAATATCCATAGAATTTTATAAGGTTTTACTATTTACACAAGTCAATCTCAAAATACTAATGGTAATAATACACATTGCATCTGTAATGATTAGAGAGGAACATAATACTTAACAATAAAAGAAATTAAACAATAAAAACAAATGGGATAGCATCCCAAATCTTTGGCTTCAAATGTTACAAGACAGCTATGATATAAATGTCTGGACAATTTGGCTGTCTAGAATCTACTTTTAAAGCAATCAGAATATTACCCAGAGCTGGGTAACTCTATTGTGCTGTGAAGGAGCGGTATCACACAAAATGTCACTAACAAACTAAAATGTTTCACAGCAACAATGTTTTCTTTGGGCCACTGAAGGTTTCCACAAACAGATGAAGAAATTTTCGGTTTCTGTACTGAAGGACACCACTTGACTTAAAAACATTTACGACAAAACATGGTTGTTAAGTATTGACCTAACAAGGAGGAAAATAATGCTTTTCTATGGTAGGAGTATTACCAATATTATCCTTCAAAGGTCTAAAATTTATCGACTTTGCAGGGACACAACTTTACAAAAATACCCAAAGTTTAAAAATTTGAAAATTAGAAGAGGCTACTTTAGCGAATTCCTTAGCAATCCTAACACAACAGTGTCAAAAAAATTAAAAAGCAAATGATCCATCAAGAACACTTCAATTCTTAAAAGTAGACACAACCTACACTCACAGACTTGTTGCCTAACATGTTCACACTACATCTTGTATACCTACTACTCTATGAGCGGAAAATACAAGACATGTTAAACTTTAATTTTAAATATGATGTGAATGTGGACATAAACTGCCCACAAATATGTAATAGAAAATATTTAGAAGAAAATTTATTTGACTAACAGGCTACATTCCATGAAAGAGTTCGATGCATGCAACACATCCTCACCCATGATCTATTAATGGTAACATCACGTCATTCTAGGAACTTCAGCAGATGAGCTAAAAGATTGTAGATGAACTCTTGCTTTGTATGAGAGCTTCATTATTAAAGCATTGTACAATCCATGCCTTTTTACAGTGAAATCACAACCTCAAATGTCAAAATAATCATTCATCAGTCAAGGCATAATAATTAAAAAGAGAGGCGAGGAGTTTTACAGGAAAGAGTGACTGGAAATGTGCACGCATAAGACACTTTTTAGTAGCTACTGCACAATAAATTGACTTCCCACAATATAATGCATTGGAACAGAAGGAAAACAGAACTGACTGTTACAACTGATATTCTTGAAGTATGCAGTTTAATTTGGAAAAATTAATGGAGACAGAAGCTTTACTCTGATAGCATATGAACGAAGCTAATAGGAAACATACCCCTTATGTCAGGGGCTCTTTCTAAAGCTCCCTCCATCCAATTTTCATCATCAGTATGTTCATTAGTCACAATAATTACTTCCCCTTCTCTGAAGGACAGTTCGTCTTCATTATCTGCTTCACAATCATATAGTGCTCTGCACTTTCTAGGTGCTAATGTGGATGGCACGGAGGCTGTGACCATTCCTCTGAGGCTATGGTTGGAATGATTGGGATTGGGACTCATTTCCATGTCAGAGGGACTTCCATGAGGGCTTCCAGGAGGAGGTGGCTGTTGTTGTGGAAGAGGGCAGTAGAAGTATGGCTGCAGAAAAAAGACAAAACAAACATATTGTTAAATAAAGAAGCAGGTTATACTCAATGAATTAGAGGAACATTATTTGCAAAGTAAAACAAATAATTAAAAACAGGTAAAATTAGCACTTGAAAAAGTGAAAACAGAACAACAAGAAGCTTTCCACTCTCTGATCTGAACACATTACAGAAATGAGACCAAACAGGACATTAGTTCATACAGTAGCAGCATAATTATTTGAACAATAGACACTTTCTTATTTGCCAATTGTAAATTAGTCACTAACAGGCTATACTAGGGAATGGAGTCTCTAGCAAATAGTTTTATGCTAGCCACAAAGGAATCTGCAACACTTTCTGTAGGTGTTTTCTATTCCTATTCATGTTGGTTATTAGCCATGAGAAGCCACACACATAAAAGCCACTCTTATTTCATTACCATTTGAAGATTTGGGAAACCACTATTAAGTCAAACCCTTCAAGACCTCTTAGCTGTCCCCTTCCTTTCCTCTGAAAAACCATTCTTATTATCAATGAGGAAACCCAACAGTAACACTAAAATCCTAAGCCTCTAAGTTGACCTTGTTTTTTGTTTTTTCCCCCATTATTATAACCAACAACCAACAAAAATTCTCTGATATCTTACCTTTCTAGGGGGAGGTACTGGGTTGTGTAAGTTTGTTCCAACTCCTAAAACGGCTTGTTCCATGTCACTGGATACAGAAGAAATGCTCTCTGTAGATCGCCCATTCGACATTCGCAGAGGAAGGTTGCCACCCCCACCAGAGACCAGACCAGGGCCTGGCCCCAGGGGAGGGACAGGAGGAGGGGGTCCCACAGGCCTCCTCACTGTAAGATCAAAATTTTAAAATTAAAAAAGAGAGAAAAAATTAGCATTTTGGAGCAGTTAAGAAATCAACATCATTTAAAACTTCAGTGCTTGCTAAGCTCACCTCCAGACTTATCCATAGAGGATGACTTCAACATGGGAGCTTCTCCAGGTGGAATGACTAGCTTGGCACCAACTGTATAACAAATTTAAAACAAACAAAACATGTAAGATACTTTGCAGGTATAATGGTCTCAGAAAAGTGATACCTATAAACTTTGAATGGGGTCTCACCTAAATGAATAGCAGAAGGAATGGAACCTCTGTTGCCTGAGGCAGCCAATTGTGATGTGTGAGATCCCGATTCACTGGAAGGTGATCTTTTGTGATGACTTAGAGTGTGATAGCCTTGCAGTTGTAGGAGAGGATCAGACGGTGTTCGAGAATGACTGGAATTACTCGGGAGAGTTCCATACATAGGTGGCATAGGAGCTGCTCTCTTTTTTAGGCTTCCATGAGCATTAGCTCCAGTCACTGAAACAACAGGTAGGATATGTGAAAAAAACTGTCATAGAGAAATGCACAAAAGCAGGCTGCCACAAAGAAGAAATTAAATCATGCCAAAAGATTAGGCAGAAACCCACAAACAAGGAGTTAAGGATTTTTAGGAGGAGGTTTCATCGGGGCTTTTATAGCTTTGATTAAAATTTGAGAATCCAACCACATTTTGAGCACAACATGATGTCACAGTTAGAGAACCCCCACTGTGGTTCATAATGGAGCATAGCATAAAACCACACTTCAACACACAGAGGAAAACCAGGGAAATATAAACATTTTGAAAATTAGTCCCAATTAGCATCTATAAAAAAAGATGCTAAAAATGCATATCAATTTCACCCCAAGCAAACCAGACAAACACAATCACAAGCACCTCATTTCATAGGGAACTCACAAAAGTTGGAGAAAAATGACTTTGTATTGGAGAGTGACTTTGAGCGAGATAAACCCACATTCCAACCTGTAAACCCAGTTCTATCAAACACCTCAGGAAGATCTATTTCCTTCCCTCCTTTCCTTTCTTGATCCATTCTAAAGAGAATCAGTAAGACAAAATACTTATTTTAAATTTTACATGCCATACCTATTGATGGTTTCCGGTTTTGGGGAGGAGGTGGAGGTGCCATACTTTGTCGGTAGGTATTAGGACTACTTCCAGACTTCAAACTGTCACAAGTTGAAGATCTAGAACGAATGTTAACAGGAGATTCTCGACCAGCTCCAGCATAACTAGGAGGGCGGGATCTACTTTTCTTCTCAGGTGTGCAACAACCATTCTGAAAATAAATTGTAACAAGATTAGATTCAAACAAATAGATGTTCTTCAGAGCACTGGCTTGATAAATTGATCTCTTTCTGTAAATTGTATTTCATAATTGTACTTACTCTATCCTCAATAACAGTTTCATCTTCTGAGACATCATCTGTTGAGCCTTCATCATGAGATAAATTCCAATCAATGTTTATATTGTCAAATACACTTTTTTGCCTTTGTAGAGCATGCCGTAGCTGCAAAATATAAACAAAGGATAAGATGGCGTAAGTTCCAATAAAATTGAAAAAACTCATTGAATTTTTGGATCATACCAGCTCTTCACATGAATGGTGACCTCGTTCTTGTGCCAAGTCCAAGGCTGTTTTATCCATTGCATTCTTCAGCATCGGATCGGCTCCACTACGGATCAACAGTTTCATGCACTCCACTCTGTCATGTATAGCACACAGGTGAAGAGCAGAATTTCCCCCTCTTGTGTTTGATCTGAAAAAAGGAATAATTTTTGTTTAAGAGCTTAATTTAAGTACACATTACTAAAAGAATTCCAAGTGTAGTTTATCTTACATTGGGGAGTGTTGACCACTACCAGGTGTTCCTGCTGGGGTGCTTGGACCATTGAAGCTGGAGGTCACTCTGTCAATGGCTTGGCTTGGCATATTTTGAACCAGAAAGTCAACAATATGTAGTGAATGACCCAACTCTCTCACAACAGCTAAATGAAGTGCAGTTTCTCCAATATCCTGTATAAAAAACAAAAACAAAAAAAAAACAAGAAAAAAACAATTAATAAAAAATAGTTGTTAATGTTGTCTAGGCTTTGACAGGGGAGTAAAATAACTGAAAGCACAGACCGATGTTGGCAATGGCGACCCAAGATCAACACCTTCAGCAAATACTTGTAATAGATGATACAAGTTTTTATTGTTGACAGCATGCTCTAAATCACTTTGCAAGTCTCTTTCATCTGCATATGTTTGGAGAGCAAATTTCTTATCAACATATTTGGCACGAATATATTCATAACGTTCTTCCCTGCAAAGGTAAAGCATTGAGTTGTCAGAATTGGTTAACTATTTGAGAAATGTACTACAAACATAGGTCTGGGGGCATTCACTTACATTGTACTACTTGGACTAAGTTTAGGGCAGGGTAAACTGGCTTCCATTACTTCATTGAATGCATTGTTAGTCATATGTCTAGCTAAGAGTAACTGTGAGGTTCCAACATTATCAAGAGTTAATGATTGTATCCGGGATATGTGGACACCCATTTCTCTGTGGATGCCAGAGCACTCAATACACACTATAATTCCAAAGTTTGTCGACAACCATGTAGCATCTGCAGGAAAAGAACAAAAATTTGTAAAACTTCTTGCAGTTTGAAAAGAATAAAAATATCAACATTAGAAATAAAGAAGCTCCTTAAACCATACCATTTTGAGAGTTGCAGTCACAACAGCTATCATTACCAGGGAGCTTTTGTACATAGCGTATAATAGCCTGCTGGAGTTCCAATAGACTGGGGTTGATTTTTGACCCTCCCGATTTCCCACTGTCATCAAATGCTCTGTGCAGGGCACCTTCTTTGCAATTTACTAAGACTGACATCCAAGCACGCTGATCAGCTTCATCTTCAGCTTGAAAGTGGTAGGTTCGATTATCTGAAAAGCAGTTTGCAAATGACCAATTGATATACAATCATCAAAGTGCATAAAATTGCTTCCCCCCAAAATTAAAAATACACCTACATGAGATTAGATCAAAGCAGCGCTTATCATCGGGGACAAGCTTGATTTGACATGTAAGGAGGTTTACTTTTGTAGGAGGTTTGCTCTCATCAGCATGGCAAATGTCAAGGAAGCCTTCTGCCTGAACACAACATTTCCTCTTCTGCCAAACTCTTCTCATTTTGCCCTCAGATTTCTTCAGCAAATGCCCCGTTCTAGTGATTCCTGCTTGCTTGTCAGTTGCTTGGAGTTGATGAAGAGAGTATCCACCACTTTTATCCGTCCCTCGGTCATTGGTTGAATTTGCCACCTATAAAAGTACAACCATTTAGAAATTAGGGTGCAAAATGTAGTGTATCCAAAACAATAAAATAGAAATGAAACACTTCAGACAGAAAAATAAAGCCAGTCAAATTCAAAAATTAAAGAAAACAAAAACAAAATATTACCCTCTCTGCTCTCTCAGGAGCCTTTTCTGGTCCCACTACTGGAGGGTTCCCACGAGATTGTTGTGGAAATTCATGCATACGGTGATTCTGCTTTGCACAAGCAACAAGGTAACGAACAAAACAAAACAAAACAAAACAAAAAGTAAATAAATGAAGCAACAGAAACAAAAGCAGTTGCAATGAGAAAACAAAAACAGCAAATACAACTAAAAATTCAGAAATATGAAAACTGTACAGGATTAATACAAATTTAGTTTTGCATTAATTTATTTTATAATTTAATTAAGAAGTAAAAACTGGACAGCAGGGAAAAGTAAAGACTGAAATGGAAAATAGATATAAACTATAAAAATGCAAAACTATGATGGGAAATCAGGAAAGGCATCAGCTAGCTTTGAAGCAAAGGTTATTTTCATGCAAATTGAGTCCAGGCAAGAATAGCTGGGTCAAAACACAAGCGCAAGATTGTTGATTAAAAACGATAATGCATTTGATCCACATGAGGCAGAACAATAATGCAACCTAAGCTTAACAGTACATTATTTCTGACAAGTGATAAAATTAACGGCCATACCTCTTTCTCTAGACCAGGCGCATTTCTTAAGAGCGTTCGCAATTCATTGAGTCTTCTTCGCTCTTCATCTTGTTTCTGACGTATTTTCTGGAGCTTCATTGAGAGATCTGCTACATAGCTCCCAAAATGCTCTATTGTTTTCAAGCCATCTTGAAAATAACTGCAAGCCAAACCAAAGATCCAAAATGAATTTACACAGCACATTGATGTGACAGACTAAATTTTACTTTCAGCCACCTACTTTGTTTGGGCGTGATAATATTCAACAAGGTGTTGCAGCAATTCTATTCCCTTCTTCGTCTTGATCTCATTCACTTTTATGAGGTACTGAAAGGGAACAGACGAACATCCATAAGTTCACTTTTTGGCTTGACGCCGACCAACCGGACGGGGGACGGGGATTCGTTCACCCCACACCCCACTCGACTGCACCCACCTCGCACATCTGCAGTTGGAAGAGCCTCCTCTCCTTCTCCATCTCCTCGGCCACCTCTGGCGCCGTGATCTCCGTGCGGATCAGCCCGGCCTCCTTGGCCTGGGCCTTCTTCTCCTTCTCGATCTTGGTATACTTGGCCTCGTAGTCCTTCCAGGCGCGGTCGAACGGCCGCTTCAGGTCACCCTTGACGCCGCGCAAGTCGCCCTTGAGCAGCGACTCGACCGGGAACATGACGATGTTGTTGGCGTTCTGCATCTGCAAACGGGGAACAGGAGGCAGAGCTGAGTTCCGGCAGTCTCGGCACCGACCGCCACGGCGCCGCCACGGTTCGGACGGACACCGGCGCGGTGCTTACCAGCGTCTTCATGAGGGCAGACAGCTCCTTGGTGACGACGGCGAACTTCATGAAAGCGGCGCCGATGTCGGGCTCGTGGTCCCTCTCTATGGCGGTGTCGCCCAGCTTGTGCAGCGAGCGCGACAGGTACATCTCGTTGTCCACGTGCGCTGCGAACAGAACCAAGCAGCACGTCAAGGTGGTGATCGGTATGCCCCGCCTGACCTCCCTCCCTTCCCCCTTCCCCCAGGTGTGGTGACATCATCCCGTCCGCCAAACAAGCGATCCTGGAGCCAGAGGTACAAGGCACGGGCACCTCTCCCTACCCTCGTCCGATCCGGTCGCCAGCAAGAGGCGCTCGAAGAGGCGCTCGAAGAGGCGTCATCGGCCGGCCTTCCCTGCACGTCCTGGAGGCGGCAGCGGCGGCGGCAGGACGCGCGAGCAGCTCAAGCAGACGGAGCGCTTTGTTCCTACACGCGCCCCGCCCCGCGCCGCGCCGCAAGACTTGCTGGTCATAATGACGCTTTCTTCCACTTTCACACCGCGGCCCTGCCAGCCACGCCAGCCTGCGCCAGCCCTAAAGCCCGCGCCCGCCAGGCCGCCAGGCCGGCCGGCCCATTCATTGTAAATAAAAGTGAAGTGAAGTGAACGCGCGAGCAGCGCGAGCAAGCCGCGCCCCATTCCGTCCCACCTCGCCCTCCTCGCGTGCGCCCCGCCCCGCCCCGCCCCGCCCCAACATCGCGTGCGCCGCCCAACTCAATTAATTAATGACTCTCACAATGGCGTATTGATACAGGGGAGAAGCCGGGAGCGCGGCGCCGTGGACGGTGGACCGCGACGAGATCCAATCGCGGCTCGTTTCGTCTGTCCAAACGCACGCAGAACGCAGAGACGGCAACAACAACAACAACAACAAGGAGCGCAGCGTGGGGCGTGGACCTGCCCGTCGACGCCGGCACCACCGCCACCCGGCAGACGACGTGGACCTCCCTGGACCGCGACACCGCGACGCCGCGACGTCGACCTGTCGCGAGCGAGACGCGCCCCCAGAGTCCCCGCAGAGCGCCGCAGAGCGCCGCAGAGGGCGCGAGACGCGCGAGAAGGCAACAACGAACACGAGCGCGCGTCCGCCACACACGAAAGAGGAGGGGGAGGGCACAGACACTGATCCAGGGGACGCCCCGCGCATTCTTTTTATCATTTATTCCCTTCCCTCTTTTTCTTTTTCTTTTATCCCCGCCCCGGCCGGGCTGGCCAGGCCAGGCACATTCGGCACATTCTCGCCGGGCACGAGGCGACGCGTTGGGAAGCGAAGGTCCCGAAGGTCCGAAAAGCTTTGGTCTGGCCTCAGCTCGGTCCCGGCCCTGGCAATGCTTTCGTCGCTCCGTCTCTCTCACACCAGCACGGGACGCCCCGCGAGCGCGAGAGAGACTGAGCGGCGAAAGCACTTTTCGGGCCCAGCCTGCTGCCCCCTTCGTACTTCGTATCGCACACGTCCATTAGTCACTCCCTGCCTCGGCCCCTTGGCCCCTCGGACTGCTGGAGGCTGCTGGAGGCTGTGCGACGAGGATTCTGCGAGGAGGTGACTCATCGCCGCCCCGCCGACGGCCGCCCCTCCCTGTCCAGCGCCCAGCCGCCCAGCCTAGTGCCGCGCCGCCGGCTTTGCTTCGCCTGGTTGGGTCCTTTTATGTGCAAACCCGGGGCTGGGCGCTGGGCCGGGCCGGGCCGCGCGCGATGCGGCACTACGCCAGCCGGTATTCGGCATTCCAATGGAAAAGGAATGGGCAGCGGGCCGGACGCCGAGGCGGCCGAGGCCCCAACCAAATCGAGGCCCAAACGGCGCGAGGCGACGGCCAACGGCCGGCCGACAGCGGGGCCGCACTTAAACTTTGAAGGAATGTGTTTCGACTCATTCCACCCATAAGAACCTCCCAACCGCGCGGGGACAACGTGGACTGGACGCGGCTGGCTCGGCAGGGACTGAGGGCGAGGCGCGCCAAAGGCAACCAAGGCAGCTCGTAGCTCTGGGCCTCGCTCCGGGCGCAGAGGGCCGATTCACCGCGATCCGCTGACGACGACAACGACAACGGAGCGGAGGGTTCTCTCCTCTTCTCTCTACCGGCGCGCGCCCCTCTCGATCGCTCGTCTCGAGGGGCGACTAGAGCAGACGAGTGATTTGGAGGAGGGAAGAAGGGGAGGGGGGCCAGGCCGGGCGGGGGTAACATAAGCACTCCGCAACTTTGTATACACAAAACCACGGCGCAGTGCTCGGCGCCAAGGGTGAGGCGGGGCCCGGCCCGGCGGGGCGCGGAGCGGGATGTGGGTCGGGGAGAGGAGAGAAGAGACCCTCTCTCTCTAGAGGAGAGGGGCGGACTGCCTCACAGCCACCCACCCCACCCATCCACGCTCCTCTCCCAATTCCACAATGCAAATGCCGCGTTTTTAATCTCGTTCCCGTATTTAGGTCAAGCTGGGGGAGGGGTGGGGCGCGGGGTGGGGGCCTCACGCCGTGCGCACGTGCTGTGCGCCCCTGCGCCTCCCGCCCCGAGGTACTGCGTCCCTCTGGGCCCCACTGCGTGCCGCACGACGAGTCCCCCCAGGTGCCGTCCTGGGCGAGGTCCTGGATGTCCACCACCCGAATCCAAAATTCAAGACCCCGTCCCGTCCTGTCCGTCCGCTGCACACGGCGCCGACCGATGCACACTGGCGTCCTTGCGGCCCTTTACAAAATCAAGGCCCATTCAGCCTTCAGCGAGGCAGTCGAGCATTAATTCCAACCCATTCAAATGCGGGGGCGCGAGTCGCCGGGGAAAGGCGAAAAGGCAAAAGGGCCATCGGCGGGAGTCGAACCACCGGACCGGACCCCCGGCCGCGCCAACCCCCGCCGCGTGCAGGGCGCACGTGTCGACAAATGCGACTCACCGCCTCAGTCTCCGTAACCGTGTCCTGTCCTGGGTCTCGATCAATATGGGCCAAGTTGGGCGCTGAGGCTGGGCCGCCGGGCCGGACCGGGCCGCCAAGGAAGGGGTGCCGTACCGCCACACTGTACTGCCCGGCGCGCGGAACGCGGAACGTGGAACGCGTTGAGTGGGGTGGCGCGGCGACAGCAGGCCGCCGCAATGCCCAACGCCGCCACTACGCCATCCAGGCCAAATAATCGGCGGCCGAGGCACGCGGGCCGATGGGGCGATGCGACCGGCAGCCGGGCAGGGCGTTCACCCTCAACGCCTTAGCGCGCCTTGGCGGCCACCCCCGCAGCCATCACTAACGACCCCCGCTGTGCCCCCCGCGGGCCGCGGGCCGCGCGCGCGTGCACACAGATCTGCCGCACCCCGCTACCCGCCACGCCGCACCCCACACTTGCTGCGTTGCCGGCGCTGCCTTGGCGCTGCCGAGGTCACCGCCCTGCCGCCCCTAGTGCTCGTACCCCCCGCCCCGCGCGGCCCCGCCGGGCCTAGCCGTCAGGCGTGCGCGTCCACGAGAAAATACTCGCCGAGATAGTGGGAAAGGAAGGAAAAGGGGCGAGGGGGACCGCCACGGCGAGTCCCTTTGCGTCGCCACGCCGCCGCCGCCAAGCCTTTCCAGGTGAATTTGTCACACGTCCACTCTGTGCACTCCGTGACGTCGAGGCGGCACGACGACGCCGGCGGGGCGAGGCGACCGCGAAAAACACTCTCCGCGAATACGGCGGCGTCGTGGACGTCGCGGCGCACCCACGGCGGGCCCCGCCTTGGGCCCCGCGGCGTACAGTATCGGCCGTCGTTGCCGTTGTTGTTGTTGCCGGACCGGCGAACCGGCCGCGTAGCCGCGCCGAGTCGCACTTCCGCCAGCCGTGTGCCGCCTCGGCTCGGGCCCGGCTGGGCCCGGCAGGAAGCGAAAAGGTGTCTGTCGGTGACTAAGGCGGTGAGTGACAAACGCTGTGACATCGGCGCGGGGCTGCGCGGGGCCTGGGGCCTCCGACGAGACGAGCTCTAGATCCCCCTCGACTTCCCCTCCCCCTTCCCGCCATTCCTCCTTATTCCCGCCTCCAATATCCCCGTGCCCGCCAAGCCCCCTTCAACCCGTGCCGACAGGATCGGGCTTAGAGTGCGGCGGGAAAAGACCCTCTACGCCCCGACGAAAAAACAAAAACAAACAAAAACACGCCAACAAAAACAAAGGACCCTACTCCCGAGGGGAGGCGCCCGCGGCCTCCGAAAGTCATAGCAAACTATGCCAGCTACTACTTACAGTTTCCAGAGTTGTGAATGGCCTTGATGGCCTTCTTCATCTTGGTCAAGCCATCCCGGTCTATGTCCAAAGTCTGAAACAGAAGACAACAGAAGGGCGTGTGAGTTGCAGACATGGCGTAATAAAGGTACACTCCACTCGATCGCTAACTAACTCTCCCCAGTTCGCGACCCACGCGCAAAAAGTGACGACCAAGGCCTCGCCCTGCCGTCTCGCTCCGTCTCTCTCGCACCCCGGCCCCCAAACGGGGCGCCCAACGAGTGGGACGGAGACAGAGCGATCAAACGATTCTTCGGATTCCCATCACCTTGACGCGACCGAATTCCAATTCCGACAACAACGCGGCCGGCACACTGCCCGGCATCGCCTCCAATTCGCAGTGTGGTCGCAGTGGGCGACAAAAGTGTGACGGAAAGCAATTAAAATCGCATCGCGGATCGTACAGCACTGTGTAGTACCTGTGTACTAAACACTGTGTACGCCACGGCCGCGGTCAGAAAAACAAAACAGTTGACACATGTGCCGGACGCGGACGTGCACCTCCTCTCCATTTCGCAATGCAGGAGGCGGGGGGCCTTCCAGTGTCGGGGCCGCCGCCACGTCACCGCTCCATTCATCGGCCCGGTGCATCAGCGCCACTGCACTTTCGAACAAGCCAAGGCACTGCAAGCGCGGAGAGCGGCAGTTACAACGCGGCAGCGCGGCCGCCGTTCCGTTCCACGCCGCTGACGCACGCCAACTTTTACACAAGTTTCACTGCACGCCATTAAATCCTTGTATTTCTCAAGCTTGTTACATTAGGCGAACGGCGCACAGAATTGGGCGTCCAGTGTTGGTTGAAGGGCACACTAGCCATGAGCGCGATTCTGAAGAATCCCTTCGCTCCGTCTCTCTAACCTCATGAGAGCGACAGGGAGAGACAGAGTGACGAAAGACCGTCGGCGTTTGAAGTTCCAGGTCCATCCACAGGTACGCAGCGTGGCGGCGTGGCGCAGCGCGGCGGGGCGCATTCCAAGACGACACGCCATCGACACACCGACAGACCGACACCGAGGAGCCATCGCGCCATCACGCGGTCCTGGCCCTGGCGTGACGTGGCGGCGCGCCGGCCGAACCGAACGACCCGCGGAAGCACCTTATGTCACGCCCGCCACGTACGCGCGTCACGGCGAGTCACGGAGCGTCACGCCGAGGTGACTAGCAGCGTTACGCGCTCGGCGGCCGCCCCGCCCCGCCCCGCGGATGCACAACGCGCTGCTGCCATCATGGGGGCGTGGTCGGGAGTGGCGGGGACCATCCCGCTCGCCCTCAAATTGTCCCTCATTACAGACAGAACGGTCGCCGGCAGGAATTTAGAGCGTCCCTGCCGAGCACGCTTCGCACCACGCCACCGCCGGGCACGGGCGGGCACGTCCCCGGGACCCCGGGACGGCCCGGTCAAGAGGGTCCTCGGGCCGGAGCCGCGCGGCCGAGCCCCGACGGCCAGGCCCACGGCTGGAGTCCTGGAGTCCTGGAATGCAGCGGAAACGGAACCCCGTCCGCGGCGGAGCGGGCGGAGCGCCCCGCCCAAGGCTCCCAAGGCCGCCGCGCCGCGCCTCCCCACGCACCTGCAGTCCTGCGGCAGTACGTGCCGGTACGGGCGCATGCACCGCGCATGCACCGCGGCCCCCAGGACTAAGGACCAAGGACCCCGGGGCCGTCAAGGCCGTCAAGGCCGTCCGCGCTGAGGCCTCGCGCCTCGCTTCAGCCTCGAGAGGCCGCCTTGCCCCGCTTGCCCGACCGCAGGCTGCAGGCTGCAGCTGGTTGGGCTGGCTGGCGCAGCCCACTGCAAGCCGAGCGCTGCACCGCCAGGTTATTCACAGGCGAGGCGTGGCGGGCTGCACAATGGCTCGGCGGCGCGGAGGCAGGTAACCGCGGGGCGCGAACGGCGCGGGCGGGGCGGCGAGGCCGCGAGAAACGATCCTATTACTCCCGCGGGGGTCGAGGTTAATTTTACCTTGCGGTCTGAGCGGCTCAGAGTCCTTCCCTCGGCGCCCTTCCCCCGAGGAATACCATTTACCGGCCGCCTCGCCGTTTTGTCCGGCCAGTCGACTCGCCCTCGCCGCGTTCGATACCCATCACGCCGCACCGCAATCATTTCACTCCCAAACCACCGCGTCGCATTCGCCCGCGTGTCCGTGCTGGCCGTGCTGGCTAGCCGAGCCGGCCTGGGCGGGCCCAGAGCCCTGGCGGCTTGGTCGCGAGAACGCCCCTCCCCCTCCCCCTCCGCGCGGCCCGCGAGTCCTCCGGGAGGCCGTTGCCCCCGACGCCCTGCTGCCTCTGCGCCTCCGCGGCGCCGCGATGGACGCCTTGCGGCCGGACGGCCGGACAGCGATCAGACAGGCATTCGTCACGGACCGCCTATCAATCCGCGCGTGTGGCGGTGGACGCGGTGGACGGGGCGACGGAGGAGGAGAGGCCCTCCACCGCGTCCACCGTCCGCCCAGCGTCCTCGCCGAAGGGAAGGCCGGCAAGGCCGCAAATCTGATTATGCCGTGATGCAACACAATGGCCGTGGGCCGCGGGCCGCCGCGGCGCGCTTTCTCGCTAAACGGCTAGGCCGCGCTGGGCCGCCACGTGACGCGCGGCATGCAGTCTGATTCCGAGAGTCGTTTCCGTCCCTCTGTCTCTCTCGCACTCACGGTGCGTCCCGTGTAAGGCGCGAGAGAGGCAGGGCGACGAGAACGACTCTCAGTCTAGCTGGCGACGCCGCGCGGGCGACGGCGGTGACGCCCTCACCTCACGAGCGTGACGGCATGGATGGAGGGCGGCGTGACGGCAGTTACGCGCGGCGGAAGCAGAAGCAGCGAAGCAGCGGCACGGCGCCGCGGCGGCAAAAAGAAAGGGCGCGGCTGCGCGGCAAAGGCCGAAGCAAAAGCCGAGCGCCAAACCCAGATCGGGTGCACCAGATTCGTCACTTCCATGACAAAGCCGGCGGCGACCCGGCCTTCCGGACAGGCGGGGCGGGGCGTTGCACAAGCCGCGCAGAGATAATCGGGAACAAACACGCGCCCCGCCACGCCGCCACGCAGTTTGCGGTTGCACGCGCACGCCGGGGAGAGGTGGGGTCGCCGTGCCGACAAGACGACCGCCCTCTATTTATATCGCGCGGTGGTCGCGGCCCAGAGTGACAAGGCGCAACAGTGTTCCGCGCGCCCGCCGTCTGTGTGTGTGTGGTGTGTGTCCGCCACACCTGCAGCCCGCAGCCGCAGCCCGGCCGGTGCTGGCTGTGCTTGTTCCGCCCTCCGCTGGGGGCTGCATGTGTGAGTGCCCCCCCTTCCAAATCCTCGCCAGTGAAAGTACACGCGACCGCGACGACGCACATGACGTCGCCGGGCCTGGCCGGGCCTGGTCGGGCCGCCTCAATAAAAGGCCCGGCGGCAGGCCAAATTAGGTGAGTCGGTCGGCCAGTCAATCGCCGTCTCGCTTTGCCTCGCAGCGCAGAGCCAGAGATAAGGACCACCGGGCGGGCGAGGCGGGCGAGGCGGGCGAGGCGGGCCCGAGGCCGCGGCGACGCGCGACGCGATGGGCACTATCGGAATCCGGGCCGCGGCCCCCTGCCTGCCTTGCCTGCCTCAGCAGCGCCTCGATAGACGTGTGTGTGCTGTGTACTCGGCTTGCTGAACCCCCCCCCCTCTCTTTCTCCCGAACATCTCTCCAGCAGGGCGCGGCGCGGCTGCGGCACGACCAGTTTCTGCAACGGGTTGTTGTTTGGCACACCGGACGGTTTCCTGCCAAGTTAGGTATCGGGTATGCCGTGCCCTCCTGGCCCCCCCCGCCCCGCCCCGCCCCGCCTGCCCGAGTGTTTACTCAGCCCCCACCAGAGCAACGCCCACCCTTGACCTTGCACGGAGCTGACTGCAGCCGCTGCAGCGCAGCATGTGCCAGCGTCGTCTGCTGCACACACACACGTACACACACACTCACATACACACGCGGGCGCGCGAAACGAACAATGCTCCTACGCCCTGCACCCAGGCACGCGCCCCTTTTTACCGACTGCAAGAAAATAAACACGCCGTGAGCGGCACAGGCAAGAAGCGAGGTGCGCGAGGACCGCTGTGTTGCTGTTTACGACGTTTTCAGCGTCGCGGTGGAGGGGGGGGAGGGGCGGGGGTCGCCGTCGCGGAACGCCACGACGCCGTGCTGCGCCATGACGCAGTGACCTTCCATTCCTCCGCCACAGCCTTTAACATCCATACTCGCCGATACCCCGCCCCGCCCCGCAGGACACCGAGGCCGGTCCCCGCCCGTGGCGTGGCTCGGCGTGGCGCGAGCGAGCCGTTCGCCAAAAAACGCCCTCGCCGAGCGAGCGGCGCCCAATCATTTTCCTAGTCGAGTATGGAGATGGGGCGGACTTTCCCTCGACAGTGTTCTGCCCTGCCCTGCCCACCCTGCCGAGCCGCTGCTGCTGGCCGGCCCAATAATCCCCGACCGGCCGAGCCAAGTCCCCGGCCAGCCGGCCAGCCAACGGCCAGCGCGAGACTTTCTTCTTCTCCGTGGGACTGCAGACTGCTGCAGACTGCCAGGCCAATCACTTTGCGAACCGAGTGGCCGAGTGGCCCTGCTGCCGATCAGAATCTCATCGAGAAGGAGGCGGAGGCGCGGCGACCCGTCTAGCCGGCCCAGTGCTCCCGCTTGACGCTCCCCGTCTCGACGACGCCGGGCCGGGCTGCGCGCCGTGCGGGTAGGCAGTCCCGCCGGGCATGGCTCCAAGAGGGTGGCCTAGCCGGCTTCCCGAAGCAACTTGAACTTGAGAGGCTAGACCGGGCTAGACCACATATGATCGTAAGCAGACGGAAGTGCGACTCCAAGCTCGCCCGGCCCGGCCCACACTGGCCCGCACTGCCCGCACTCCACGCGAGCGCTCCAATGGGACTCCATTACACACTCACACTGTACAGTGTACAGGCCCGCCAGGCCGCCAGCTCCGAGAGGGTCATCGCGAGCAGCACGCGCGCACGCGCCCGGCAGCAGCGGCCGTGGCGGCGCGGCTGGCTGCGCTGGGTGGGGCAGTGGAGTCGACTTGAGGTC